GTGTGTGTGTGTGTGTTTAATTGATAGGGAAATTTTCTAGAAGAGCTGCAAGGCACAAAGATTCTATCTGGTTTTACTGTCTTTTAATTTTTATTTAAAATATTGGTTTGTGCCCTAACCAGTTTGGCTCAGTGGATAGAGCATTGGCTTGCAGATTCAAGAGTTCAGGTTCAATTCCCGTCAAGGGCATGTACCTTGATTGCAGGCACATCCCCAGTAGGAGGTGTGCAGGAGGCAGCTGATAGATGTTTCTCTCTCATCAATATTTCTAGCTCTCTATCCCTCTCCCTTCCTCTCTCTCTACAAAATTAATAAAATATATTTTAATGAAAATAAATAAATAAATAAATAAATAATTGGTTTGTGAGCTTTCCTAAGCTATTAGAATGATTACTTACTTTATCTTTTTTTTTTTAAGTGGAATTAAAAAATTGTTTAAGAAAACTAAAATCAAGATCTTTTCAAACGTGTGTGTGTGTGTGTGTGTATAATTTTACTTTGTTTTTAATTTTAGGGTTGAGAGGACCCATTTGATTTCCTCTCGGGCACTTTTAAGCCATCACAGCAGATAAAGTGAAAAAATATTTTAGTATTTTTTGGTATTTACCCCATGTTGGGCAGTGTTCTAAGCACTTGCCATATATTAACTCATTTAACCCTAACCTCCATCCAAAGAGACAGATACTGTTATTACCACCACACACCATATAAAGAAACTGAAGTTCAAAGCTCAGTAACTTGCCCCTTAAGGAATGGATCTGGGATCTCAATTCAGACACTAGAGTCTATGCTCTCAACCATTATATTACCGCCTGCCTCTTTCCCTCTCCCCTTCTTTCTAGGATTTCCAATTCCAAGGATTGGTTTTCACTCTCACTGTCCTTTACCTCATGTGCATTCCTCGGCTCCCAATTTGGAGTTCCTTTTAGGCCTGTTTTTTCTTTCTCTGGCCTGATGAAGAACCGCGCTTCCACTTCCCACCAGCCACTACTGCTTTCTCACCTTCTTCCTTGGGGATTGTCTCCAACTCTCAAACCATTTTTGCATTCTTAAGTCGTATTACATCAGGGCTAGAAGCTGTTGCTACAATAATGGCTTGACCAGTTCTAAGTAAGATAATATTAATTAATAGTGAATTACTGCATGGCTTCTACATGTATCCTCTGTTCCTTTTTTTCTACTACATTTACAAAAACACATTCTCTTGCCTTAGTTCTTGTTGTGATGCCATTTATTATTATTTTTGTGTATTTATGAATATGTCTTAGATGTCTCAAGACCTGTCTTTGGACTGAAATCCACAAACATGGTCTCTTCTTTGTGGACACCCTACAGCATCTCTTCAGGTGATTTATGAAAGTTGATAACTGTGTATCCTAGGATCTTCTGGCTCTTGAGACACACGGCTGTTTATATGTTGAGTGTATAAATTCCCATTGAGCGTAAAGCTGTCAGAGACAGTTGTGTGATTCAGGATGACAAATGGGTACTGTGGATCAGCTCTTGGCACGTTATCTTCCTGGCTGCATTGCAGGGAAGAGGATAAAGAAAAGAATGGAGCACCATCTCCCTCCGCCCCACACCCAGTGCCCTCACCCCATCCCCCACACTCCCTCTCTGTTTAATGTAATCTACTCCTCACTTATTGAAGATGAAATCACACCCATGAGTTTTCTGCTTTCCAAGGCAAAGATAATGATTACTGAGTCCCGCACAACATCGAGTTTGCAATAGTGAGTTTATCGTAATCGCTGCTGTATATTAAACAAAGAAGAATTTCACAGGATTGAAATTTATGAATGCAGCTTCCCCCCTCTGTCCTTTCTCTCCCATGATATTTACTATATAGAGTCTGAAGTGGCTGGGGATGGGTGGTTAGCAGTCCCCTCATATATGTGTTCTTGACAATACTGCAGACTTGTGTGTTTTTTTTAAAATATATTCTATTGATTTTTTACAGAGAGGAAGGGAGAGGGATAGAGAGTTAGAAACAGCGGCGAGAGAGAAACATCTATCAGCTGCCTCTTGCACACCTCCCACTGGGGATGTGCCCGCAACCAAGGTACATGCCCTGACCGGAATCGAACCTGGGACCTTTCAGTCCACAGGCCAACGCTATATCCACTGAGCCAAACCGGTTTCGGCTTGTTTTGTTTTTTAATTATGGGTGTTTGTAAGCTGAAATTGTTAGCCCCTAATGAACCTAACATCCTCAGGAGCCCCTGGGCCCAGGAACCCCGGCTGCCCCTTCAGTTCCATTGGAGCAAGATATTGACCACTTTGCCTGTTTCTTTCTTTGAATGGAGTGCACATGCTCGCTGAAATCATCTATAATATGTCCAGTTAGTGCACCAGAATACCCTTTTCACCGGCCCCTTTATGTTCTTGTGACTGTCTGCCCGGAAGGAACTTTGGCCAGTGGACTGGAGTTGAGGGTGTGTTTTCCTTCTAGCTGGGAGCTGAGGTATTCCTGTGGCATCTCATCCTTGCCTCTGCCATGTTATATCAGGACAACACTGTAATCTGTCTGTTTCCCCGACCTGACTGAAATAGTCTCCAAGACTATGAGCCTGCAGTTCAGGCTCGGCTTTAGTTGTTGTTATAAAATAGCACCGGTCTTTGTTCTCCCTGCTTCATCCCAAACATCATACAAGATGGTACTGATGGTAACAAGAAAACTCTTGTTAATAGGATCCTAGAAATCGATGAGAGATTTAAATACTGATATGTCTGAACAAACGTGATTTCTCAACAATGGACTTGCAGCCAAGCCTTTTGGACTGCAACTACCTTTAGTCTAATTTCATACTTCTGCCTTTCTGTGGTGTCTTCCGGAAGTGCCTTTGACCTGAGCTGTTTCATCTCTCTCTTTACTCTCAAAGCAGCCAAGAGTTCACATCACCCTTCACTCCTTTCCCATCCAGAGCTCACCCCTGTCTTTCTCTGGGTTTAAATTTACTTTTATTATGCCACATGTATTTAGCTCTAATTATTTACAAATTACCCAACCCATTTCCCAAGTTAGACTGCATATCTTGGGGGCAACGCCCATGTCTATTCATTTTGCATTTCTACTGATATGTGGTTCTAGGTACATAGTAGGGGCTAAGTAAATGCAGAGTTGTGTTAGATTCCTTTATAATAGCACAGAGGTGGGGTGGTGAATCAAATAGGAACTCGGATGGAGAAAGGATTGGTGTAGCAGTTATTGTAATGACCAGTGGAGGGCTGAGGGTGAGGAGAAAGACGAGATTGGGGCAGGCATGCTATCAGAGATGACACCATACAAGTTTGGGTGGCGTGGACAGAGGTGCTAGCAGAGTAGAAGTAGGGGCTATGTAGTTGGACCTCTGGGAATTGGAGGTTAATATGAGATGACAAGATGGGATGTGCAGTAAGGGGAGAAGGTGGAGGACCCAGGAGTTGATGGCCATGTTGGAACTTAGACAGCAGTAGCCGGTAACTGGCAGCTGTGACAATGGGGAAAGGGTGGGAAGAGAGACAGGAAATTCCTTCAGCAGCAAGAGATTGTAGCAGGTGTGTGTGGGGGCATTGCTGTGACCCTGGTAACTTAGGACGGCCAGTTGTGTTGGACAGGTGTATAAGCTGTTCATGGTCGATCAGGGGTAATGCTTAAACTATATCTTAGGTATTTGAGGGGAGCTGGGGACTGGTAAAAGAACCAACAGACAGGCTTGGCTTAGCTTGCCAGCGGATGAGATCATCTGTGACTGAAATGCTGAACCAACAGGAATCAAATAGTACATCCGAAATTTCATTTATCCTCTCCTTCCTGTCATTGCCTGTTCAAACCACTGCGTGGGGTTGCATTTCAGTCCCCAGAGGAAATCTCTGCCTGACTTAGCTTCTTCTTAGCATCTCTCAGATTTAAAAAAAAAAAAAAATCTTTCTTGTGTTATAATTATGTAGTGTAATAAGTATTGCTATATCAGGAATCACATTACAATCTATAAATGTATCAAAGCAACACTGCTGTCTACCTAGAACTTAACCAGAGCGAGACAGCACATTTATTCATTAAAAATAAGCTTTCAGTAACTTTTATCCATAGACACAGTCTAGGCTCAGTGAGTATCTGGTCTAGCCCTGTGTGACGCCTTATGTCCTTCATGCAGAGGTAAACCCTCTCCCTCTTCAGCAGCTCCTTTTTGCTGGAGTGTGAAGCCCGTGTCGGGGAAGAGAGCTCTGATAGATGTCTTCTCCCCGGTTGTCCTCTAACACCTCTGCTCTTCCTCTCCTACTCACCAGCAAACCCTGGTGTAGGCAGGGATGAGAGAGGGCGGGAAGGTCACAGCATGACATCCCTCTGCCATTCATTTCTTCCCACCAAAGCAGCTGTGAGCCTGACTTGTTCTTCTGTGGGCAGTTCTGTAGGTTCTTTGGACTGTCCTTCCCTCTTCCATTTCTGTGGCTCTTTCACCTGTTTTCCTTGATGTACAGGGGGCATACATTCACCTTCATTCTCATCCCACGGGTGAACTGCTGAGGTTTTCTCACCTGCATAGCAACCTTAATTCGAATTCAGATCACAGTGGCTTGGCAGTGCTAATGGGATATCTAGGGGATACGCCCTATTAGGAAATACTCTAGTGCTTAAGAGAGAGGCAGGAGTTAGAAGTGCACGTGTGCGGTGAATGCTATGCCGGTGGTTGAAGACATGAGAGAGGACCATGGTTGCCCACGAAGAGGCATGGAACTTCACAAAGATGCTCATTTTTAGAAGCAGGACAAGGAAAAGGAGCGGGCAGAGATGGCCACAGCCCCTTCTGGAGTACTGGTTCTATAACGGGCACACTATACAGGGGTCAGCCCAGAATTATGTTGACGATTGCGTCTATTTTTACCCAAAATGTGGAAATTATACATACATACATTTTTATTTTCATGTTTACTACTATCTTAAAAAATGATAATTAATTTCACTTGAGAATTCTTTTTCTTTGAAAATAAAATTTAACTCTTCTCTCCCCCCGCCCCAGTTGTGTATGAACACAGATCAAGATTAGAAAAATCCTTGCAAAAGGAAAGACTTGAACATAAGAAAGCAAAGGAAGGTAAGTAATGAAACAACATGTATTTGCTTTACTGGGTTTTTTTTTGCTAAGAAATTTTTATTAACTCAAAGTCAGTTTTATAGGTAGACAGAGATGTCAAGCAATTTGCTGTGCCTTGTGTATTAAAATAATTTCTGCTCAAGGCTGGATTTATTTATTTATTTATTTATAATATATTTTATTGATTTTTTACAGGGAGGAGGAGAGAGGGATAGAGAGTTAGAAATGTTGATGGGAGAGATACATCGACCAGCTGCCTCTTGCACACCCCCTACTGGGGATGTGCTCGAAACCAAGGTATGTGCCCTTGACCGGAATCGAACCAGGGACCTTTCAGTCCGCAGGCCAACGCTCTATCCACTGAGCCAAACCGGTTTCGGCTCAAGGTTGGATTTAGAATCTTTCAGCGTGTGCCACCTTGAGGTAGTTCATATATTGGTTATATATACCATTTCAGAAATAAACAGCTTTCCATTTGAATATTATATACATATGTTACTAATGCCTGGAACTTTTATCTACAGACATCCAGAAAATAACAGTATGCATTGTCCAGAATATGAAAAATTTTATATACGCATAGGCATGTGCACTATACATATATATACAAATTTATAACATAATAAATTGATTACATTGTATATCTTTTCAGTTATGAACCTGTTTTTATCTTGTGAGGGCTTTTATTGGACAGCTGATGGGTTCATTTAGAAAAAAATAACATTTAGCACCGATATTAGTCAAATGCTATGATTTTTATCAGAATTTTGGTATAAAGCATAGGCTTTACACAGCTTGTGATTTAAAATTACCTGCTTTTTTACATTTGTGTGCATTTTGTGATAAATCTTGAGGTTGACATTAGGTATTGTGTATAATTAACTCGGTGGGTCGAAGGAGGGAGAACATAGGAGGGCAGTATTGATTAGGATGTTTTGGTCATCCTCGGATTAAGCCTGTGTGAAGAACAGGAGTGTAACAGCATCAGATGCTTTGATCGGATTTGGATTTTTCTTGTCTTCAAATGCAGCGTGATTTTACAGGGCCATCTAGTGGAGAACATGCTTTAGAGCGTGACAGATGGTATTCTCTTCAGGGCCTGAGTGATTTCAGTGCCATCTAGTGGGCAGCAGTAAATCACCTCGGTCTTTAGGTGTGCAGCTTATTTTTTCCCACTTATTTAAAGGCTGGTTAATTGCAGAGTGTGCATTCTAAATGCACTTTTAATCAATTGGTTATAATGCAGATGTTGTTGGTGCTAGACTTACAGCTTTAAGGTGAAGAGGAAAAATATGTAATAGTTGTTGCACTTTTTTCTAAAGTACGGAGAGGCAAAATATATAGAACTCACCAAGTAGATTGTTTTAAACCTAGAATATTTTTTTGGAAGTCTGAATAAAGTTTGCCTTTATTCTTTTAGATGTTTGAAAATTTCACAAAGAATGGACTTACTCTCTATTTCTTCCATTTTGTATTTTCTAGACTTTCTTGTTTATAAGTTAGAAGCACAAGAAACACTAAATAAAGGAAGGGTAAGTTGTCTTTTTTAGTTTTTATTTCCTGAAATTTAGGAGAGGAGATTGTTGCAAAAGCTTTTTCTCTGTTGATCTTTAGTATTGTAGGGCTGAAATACTTTTTTTTTTCTTTGCCACCAAACATATTTAAGAGGAAGACTTTAATAATTGTTCTTTTAAAGCCAATATTTGCTTATGTCAATACTTATTATAGCAATGCATTGGGAATGGCTTAATCTTCAATAATAAAAAAATATTTTTATGCATTTATTTGTTTATTTGTTTCAAATCTTTCCTATAGAATGTGATATTGATTTTGGTTTGTGTTTGCACAGACATTACTGTGTAATGTCTAACACAGTACTGTGGTGCTCCTGTGTACCCACGTGCTCCTCACTCTCAAAGCTAACCCGGAGATCACCACCTCCGAGAAGTCTTCCCTCGCCTCTCTCCCAGCCAGAGCTCATCCAAACACATTTGTCGAATTCATAAATGTAAAAAAAGGATATTGGCCTTAAAAACTTCTCAAGTCCAAATTAACTGGAGAAAAACTAGTCTTTCTCTTACTCTAAAAAAAAAAAAGTAAGCTTTAGTTGAGTAAAACATTAAAACATTCGTGTTTTGAGGTCTTGAAACTGAGAAGAGTCAGTTCGTTGGGTAGCTGGGAGGCTATTTCTTGCTTTAAAAGCTCTGACCCAAACTGTGTGCCTTCTGTTGTGCCTTTTATACTGTAATTTCACTGTCACCTAAAGTGGTAAAGCAGTGAAATAAAATGAGAAAGCGAAAATGCAGTTTATTTTAGAAGCTGTACAAACTACGACCTGGGAAAAGATTGAGAGCATGTCCTTGTGCTGGCCATGCCATAAGCCAGGAGTGTGGCGTGTGAGGTACGACACAGCATGGGAGAGAAAACCCTCAGATGTCTTGTGTCCTGGCTGGTCATGGCTCCCAGGACTGTGGACGTGTGTGAGACCCGCCTGTGAAGGTGTCCCACTGGGATCCAGGGATCTGCTCCTGGAACATGGACCGGCCGTAGGCTCAAGTTTCAGTCCTTGCTCTGCTCCTGAAGGAAAACTTGGTCCTTGGTCTGCTCCTCATCCTTTCTAATTCTCACCCTGTGCAATGGAGTCTCGCTGGAATAAAGCAGTGGCTGGAGAACTTCTTGCCCACTGAAGCTCAGGGAAGGAAAGCAGTTGTCTCTCCCCTCCCGTGAGCCAAGCTGAGCTTGTGAGACCTGGTCCTTGTGGATTCAGCCCCACCTGCCCTTGGAGCCCCGTCACAGTGTATGATTATCTGTCTTGGGACAAGGTCCTCCGGACACCTGGGCCTGAGCGCTTCTGGATGAGAGAGTGGAAGTCTTCTCCAAACTACTATTTTATGATGCCATGTCCCCTTTGTCATTACTAAAACCTAGCAAACTTGTGGAATGTTAAAACGTTATTTCTGCTGTTATATAAGGAGATGGTCTCAGAGATAGCCTGGTTCAAGTGTAAATCCATGTTAGCATACGCAAGCGAAATAAGTGAAATTCTTCCATGAAGACTTTTAAGCTGTGTTTAGTAAAAGAGCCAGATTTTTAAAATCTTTGTGTTAACTATCTTCTTTTCAATTTACAGCAAGATTCCAATAGTAGATACAGTGCTCTGAATGTGCAGCATCAGATGTTGAAAGTGAGTAATTTAATGTTGTTCTTTGGGAATGAGTTGAAAGGATTAATTAAGTAACTTAAGTGACTAAGGACAGTTACAGAAAGTTAATTTTTATATAATATGGTATATTAAAGTTATATTTGGCTCAAAGATGATATGTAAGTATAATGCCCCATCATATTTTTACCTTTTTACAAAGAACATATTTAATTTATTATACATTTTCTTATAAATCAGACTCTCTGGTCATCTACGATTTTTGTTTTTCTCTTTATTCTTCAAGGCTTTTTGTTTGCTTAAATTTTTCATGGTGGTTTCTCTTAGAAACTTTATTTAGACACACTGCAAGCAGTAAACTATTCAAATGCCTCATTTGTGCCACTAATATTTAAAAAGTCTTTTTACCAACCTCTTTGAGAGAGAGACAAACATTAATAGATTGCCACCCATATGCACCCAGACCAGGGATTGAGCTGCAAACTAGGTATGTCCTAACCGGGAGTTGAACCCACAGCCTTTTTGGTGTATGGCACTTTGTTCCAGCCTATTGAGCCACCCAGTCAGGGCAGTAGGGCAAGTACTTTTTATTGAAACCAGAATCATTTCTATTATCAAGAAAGCAGTTCCTGAATTACAGCAGATAACCTTTGACATGAAGCATTTGGAGACTGTAGAATTTATGTAGATTGTCATCATAGCTTAGTTTTATAATGAGGGGTAAGATAAATAAGAATAATTCAGTATACAATCAACCTTCCCCAAAAGGGAAAATCTTTTTTTCTCCCCTCTTTAAACTGGCTAACCAGGAAGCCTGGAAATCAAAGAAGGGAAATAAAAAATGGTTTTAGGAAAACAACAGATTGAAAAAGGAAGTCCAGAATGTCCACAGAGGGTTAGCTTTTCCATTAGCTTTACCTTGTTTCCTGAGTAATTTGAGTGCCTGGGAATTTTCCCATATCCCTCCCTTCTCCATCTCTCAGGCTAACATCTATATTCTTATTGTTTCCATTGATGTTAAAAATTAGGAAGAATATTGTTTCTGGCCATGATCCCAAACTCATTGTTTGAAACGTAAGGGAAATCGGAGGTGAGCTGCCCCAATGAAAAGCAACCCGAGGAACATGAAACCGCCTTCTCCATTCGTTCTTACTTTCTTGCAAGAGAAAGACTAGGCTGTTGGGAAACAGACCCTTTTTATAATTTAGGCCATCTACATTTTTATTCGGAGTCTCACTTTTGCAGAGTCAGCACGAGGAGCTGAAGAAACAGCACAGCGACTTGGTGGAGGAGCACCGCAAACAGGGAGAAGACTACAGCAGGACGTTCAGTGACCATAAGCAGAGGTACCTGCAGCTGCAGCAGGAGAAAGAGCAGGAGCTTTCTAAGCTGAAAGGTATTTGGAAATCTGCTTCGCCAGTTCGTAGGGAAATAAGTGCTCATAGTGATAGAAAAAGGCGAAAGATTTATAGGATCTGAAGAGAAACCAGAGTATATAATAAGTGCTCATAGTGATGTTTCAGTAGAACAACAAACTTTTTTTAAAATTTAATATATTTTATTGGTTTTTTACAGAGAGGAATTGAGAGGGACAGAGAGTTAGAAACATGGATGAGAAAGAAACACAGATCAGATGCCTCCTGCACACCTCCCATTGGGAATGTGCCCACAACCAAGGCATGTATCCTTGACCGGAATCGAACTTGGGATCCTGGAGTTCACAGGCCAAAGCTCTATCCACTGAGCCAAATCAGTTTCAGCAACAGCAGACTTTTGATCTATTTCTTGTTTTCATGGTGGTTAATTTGTCTGTATTAAATGGTCCTTTCCTAGCCACTTCTTTCTAACATTGCACATTTATTCTTATCTCTTTTGTTTATTTAGGGAAGCAGAGAACAGTTAGTGTTTTTCAGTGGGCACATTGGCCAAATTGCGTAAGATAATTACTGCGTGTGTGTGTTCCAAGATATTTGGCATCTCTGACCTCAACCCACAAACTGCCATCCATCCGTGCTCCTCAGTCCTTGCTATGATCAAAAGTTGTGATGGTGAAGCATTTCTTAAAATTTCCCAGGGGAAGAAAGACTTCTGAGTCGTGGCTCATAGTAGTCTGCCTTAGCTCAGGCTCTCAGAGTCAGCCTGCCCAGGTGATCCTTGGCCTCTGCAGTCACTGGCTGTGTGACCATAGGCCAGCTGTGAAATCACCACCAGTGTCATTGTCCTCATCTGTAAAACCGGGATGTTCATACACAGTGCCATCCTCATAGGATTGATGTGAGGATTAAGTAATTTATGAAAAGCTCCTAGAACAGCTATTGGTCTTGTGGTGAACCTTTAGTACAAAGAATTGCCGTCAACATCAGCATCAGGTATTTTTGTAGTAATGTGGACAAAATATGTCACTTCTCCAAGTACTTGTGAGTTTTGGAATGAGAAGTAGCACATTCAGTGATTAATAAAAATTAAACAATATTCAATTTAAGTAAACCGTTTAAATAAGTTCAAAGTGCGAAAAATGGTTTAAAAGAATACATGATAGATCCAAAAACAGTGGTGAAGTCTGAGAAAGGTGTATAGTCTAGTTCAGTGGTCAGCAAATTCATTAGTCAACAGAGCCAAATATCAACAGTATAACAATTGAAATTTCTTTTGAGAGCCAATTTTTTTAAATAATATAATTATTGATTTTTTTACAGAGAGGAAGAGAGAGGGTTAGAGAGCTAGAAATGTCTATGAGAGAGAAACATCAACCAGCTGCCTCTTGCACAGCCTCTACCGGGGATGTGCCCCCAACCAATGTACATGCCCTTGACCAGAATCGAACCTGGGACCTTTCAGTCCGCAGACCGACGCTCTACCACTGAGCCAAACCAGTTTCGTCGAGAGCCACATTTTTTAAACTTAAACTTCTTCTAATGCCACTTCTTCAAAATAGATTCATCCAGGCCATGGTATTTTGTCGAAGAGCCACACTCAAGGGGCCCAAGAACCGCATGTGGCTTGCGAGATGCAGTTTGCCGACCACTGGTCTAGTTAATTGTACTTGTGCCAAACAATTTCCTGGTTTAGGATAGTACACTACGTTTATATTCAGTGTAATCATTGAGAGAGGTGGGTAATGGATACCTTGGAACTCTGTGTTTTTTTTCTTTTAATATTTTTTATTGATTTCAGAGAGGAAGGGAGATGGCAAGAGAGAGATAGAAACATCAATGATCAGAGAGAATCATTGATTGGTTGATTGACTGCCTCTTACACGCCCCACACTGGGGATCAAACCTACAACCCAGGCATGTGCCCTGGCCAGGAATCAAGCCATGACCTCCTGGTTCATAGTTCAATGCTCAACCACTGAGCCATGCCGACTGGGCAAACCTCTCTGGGTTTTTTTTATGCAACCTTTTGTTTATAAGTATTTCAAATAATGTTTCAAAAAAAAGGCTCAGAGGAGGAATTAAGTAGCCACTGAGGCAAATTACAAAGGGTTGAGGTGGTCTTATAGTTGGGCTGGGTGTCAGCAGATGATTCCCTCGAGGTGTAGACATGTAGGAGCTTTGGCTTGTTGGGGATGCAGCTGGTGGTGAGGGGTCATTAAGATAACAAAACAGCAATGCATCTATTTGACAGACCTGGAGCAGTTACATCTGTTGCTAAGGTTACAGTGCTGATGCAAGAAAAAAGGGTCCTCGCGCTTTCTGCCTGTCTGATTGTGGCAGCCAAGATTGAATGGGGGAATACAAAATAATAATGATGATAATAATAATCCTATATAATAAAAGCCTAATATGCAAATAGACTGAACGTTGGAATGACCGGCAGAACAACCAGTCACTAGGACTTACATTGACCACCAGGGGCAGATGCTCAAAGCAAGAGCTGCCCCCTGTGGTCATTGTGCTCCCACAGGGGAAGACACACTTAGCCAGAAGCCAGGCTCACAGCTGGTGAGCACAGAGCCTCTCCTGCTTCCATGGCAGTGCTAAAGAGCAGCGAGCCAGGCAGTAAGGAGCAGCGAGCAGGCAGGTGGTAAAGAGCGAGTGGTTCTGATCTGAAAGAAAGTGTTTCCACCAGAGATCAACCAGGAGTCTGGGAGTTCTATCAGTTGCTAAGATGTGCGCTCACCACCAGAGTGTGGTGCAGAATGAAGGAAGGCTCTGGCCGGCAGTTGGCATCCCAGGAAGGGAGGCCCCGGCCAGCAGCCAGCAGCAGGGGAGGGGAAGCCCCAACCAGAGAGCAGGAATGCCCCGATCAGCCCTGATCACCAGCCAGGCCTGGGGATCCTACCGGTGCACCAGTCCTCTAGTAATCTTATATAATAAAGAGGTAATATGCAAATTAACCTTCACACCCTCACAAGATGGCTGCCTTCAACCAGGCTACCAGGGGGGTTAGTGAGGGATGACCAAACTACTGAACAAGCAGGCTGTGTGGGGCAGCCAGGCCATCAGGGGGGGCAAGTGGGGCAACCAGGATGGCAGAGGGGGCAGTTGGGGGTGACCTGGCCAGCAACGGGGGCAGTTAAGGGCCACCAGGCCAGCTTGAGGGTGATAGTTATGGGAGATCGGCCGGAACACAGAGGCAGTGAGGGGCAATCAGGCCGGCTTGGGACATTTAAGGGCGACGATGCAGGCAGGCAGGTGAGTGGTTAGGAGCCAGCAGTCCATGATTGTGAGAGGGATGTCGGACATCCGCCGAGGGTGCAGGAGAAGGTACAGACTGAGCTGAGGGGACTCCCTTCCTGTGCACAAATTTCATGCCTGGGCCTCTAGTAATAATAATAACCAATCAAATGAAGGAAGAAAGATTGAGTACAAAAGCCCTCATAGAAATAGTGTAAAGCAAGCATGTCAAACTCAAGGGCCAGATAAACAGTTTAAGTTTATGTGGGCCACAAAAAACAAAAGCTTCAATTTTCATAGAAACATAGGTTTATTTCGATAGAGACATGCTGAATACAAAGGGCTGAAATCAATGAATGATCATTAAGTTAAAATAATAGAGCATTTTAATAAAAATTAATAATTTTTCTTGAACATTAACTTACCAGACACTGAATAACTGCACAAATTAATAAGCGTAACACAAATAAACCTATTTTTCTTGTTCTCCAAAAGTGAAATATTTTCTGTTGCGTGTACCAAACAAGTCAGTCCAAGACTAATGACGTGGCAATTGGCTGCTAAAATATTGGCTGCAGGTATTAGTGGAGAGAAATGGTGCGCCTACACGTAAGGAAATGAATTACGTAAAGGAAATGAATGCAACATGATTATAGTAATTAGTCATTACCAAATGTTGTAGTTCATTATTAATAATTATGAATAACAGGATATTGTAAAAATTAAGTTACAGAATTTTTATTAAAATGTTTCTTACCTACCATTATATTGGCTTGGACACAAAAATATTTGTTGTGGGCCACATGTGGCCTGTGGGTCTTGGGTTTGACATCCTCGTACAGTAAAGGAAGAGAGAATCAGAGGACTCCCAGTCAGAAAGCTCTTGCCCTGCCCTGGGAAGCCACACCTTTCAGTGTTGGCATAGTGGATACACTGAGTTAAGCTGAGTAAAAAATTAAATTATGCTGATAATAAATAATAGATTCTTTAAGGAAAAAAATACATTTCATAGGTGCCTGACCTGTGTGTGGCACACTTTACATAACTAGATCATATATATTTTAGCAGTATCCCTAAGGGCAGGTTTTTTTATGTGTACCCTGTAGTCACCCCTTTCTTTGAAGCAAAATCCATGTGTAGTACAGTTTTAACAAATTATATGTAGAAGTAAGAAACAAGGACCATGGAAAATAGGTGGACACGTATGTGAGTTCTGCATTCGGAGATAATTGAAGCCTGAATTTCCTGGCACCCAGGACAATAGGGGAGATACAGAAAGTTATAGAGGCTCCTGTTATTAGAAAGAAAGAATATCCTGATACCTTATGGGGGTGGGGAGCAACAGAGACAAAGTGAGAGCAGGAGAGAGCGCGGAGGGCGGGGGGGGGGGGGGGGCAGAGATACACAGAGAGAGAGAGAGAGAGATACGGAGAGAGAGATACAAAGAGAGAGAACACTCTGCTACCAATTAATTTGGGGGGGAAATTTCTCAGAGACCTTAACCAACAGAGTGTGACCACACCCTGATGACACTGTTGTAACTAATTGTCACACTAGCAGTTTTGTTTGATTATGTTCTTTGATAAAGCTTGGGATAATAAGTTAAAGGGATAGACGCAGCTCAGTAGTGGCAAACTAAGGTGTGCAGTCCAAGTGGTCTTTGTCGTCTACAGGAGAGAATTTGGAATTCCTGGGGAGATGAGCTGATAGCATTTAAGCTTAGATAATTATTCTTTTCATTTGCATCATCATAATAGCTGTCACTAAACAGATGTTTAACACGTGCCGGAACTAGGTGAGACTCTTCATGCAATGATCTTATTTAATTCTCATAACAGCCTGTGAGGCAGGTGTTGTGTTCAGCCTCACTTAACAAATGAAGAAGTTGAGGCTGGCTAATATGGCAGAAGCATGGGGGCCCTTGCCATTGAGTTTGTCGTCTGTAAGTGCTTTAAAAGCTAGCACAGTGTGGTACTTCAAGTGTGTGTGTTCCTGAGTGTGTAGACTGAAGTCCCATCCAGCCTTGGATATGTTTATAGTCCCCTTGGATCACCAGTAGGTCCTGTTTTGACCTTGAGAAAATCCATTACCCCATGTAGATGGATAAACAAATCATTGGCCACATTTCCCACCTTGTTGATCTCTCTCCCAAACCCAGTCACAAATCCAATGCCCAGGAGACGGCAGGGATGCCTAAAGAATGAAAATGGACAGAAAAGACATTGAATGCTGGCGATTGGCACTTTCCTTCAGTGCCAAGTGCCACATGGGAGAGTCAGGGCTTGTCTGCAGGGGGGTGGCTGCCACTGAGGGGCAGTTTGCTCAGCATAGTCCAGTTGGCATCTGCTGACCCAGTAGCTCTTCTGGGAACATGAGTTACATTGAGTGGCCAGATTATTATGATCCCTGAATGCATAATAATCTGGCCACTCAGTGTATATCCTATAAAATAAAAGGCTAAAAGGCAAATTGTCTCCTCAACTAGGAGTTCGATCAGCAGGCAGGCCGGTCAACTGCCCATGTCCACTCCCCCTCGTCAGGCTGGCTGGACCCCACCCATGCATGAATTCATGCACTAGGCCTCTAATATATATATTATACACACACACACACACACACACACACACACACATTGAGTGGCCAGATTGTTATGTGTTCTGAGATTAGTGTGTATGATCAGCCTGCCACTGCCCAGCTTTTACTGAGCATTGCAGATGAGAATCGGCCTAGTGTTGCCAGAGTCTTGATTTTGTAAATAGTGATGACTATTCAAATGTGGGAGATATATAAGCCAACATTGCAGCGGCAAAAAAAATAATAGTCATTGTGGCTGCCAATTTATAACATCTAATGTCCAGATACAGGGTATGTGAGAATTGCCGAGGAGGTAAGAGCAGTAGGTTTAGACTCTGCAAGTTGCTAAGGCTATATCCTGAATAGTATGGGAATGTTTTAGGACTTCACTATGATTGCTATTGTCTCATCCTGGAAAAACTTCCCTAGAACAGAGAATTTGGATCAGTCAAGTACTCAATGGTAGGAGAACAAAAGTGTATTTAGAATTTTCAACAGGTAAGTGAGATTTCTCTCTGTCTCTTATTTCTTGAGTTGCCTTTATGTTGAAATACCTTTTGGGGAGGTAGAAAAGATTCATGCTCTGAGAAATAGGGTTTGTGCTTTTTGATAACTGTGGCCTATATTTCTAAAGAGACTCACATCTTAGACCACCGCAGTTTATTCCTAAGGGCTTGCTTATTAACAAAAATATTTCATTTTTAACTCAGAGTAATTAAACATTCTTTACTTCTACAGTGTAAAACCTGTTTACATGTATTTAAACTACTGAACCAGATTGTATTGGGATATCCAATTGAATCCGTGCCCTAACAGTATAATTTCTGTTGACTCGGAATATTGTATTATTAATATTCCATTTATTAAGTTCAAAATAAATCTTAAACAAGTTGTGTGAAGCTTCAGATATGAAAATATTAGAATCAAAAGACTAAAAATTCTCAGGCTTTATGCATGATTTTTCTTTTTCTACAATAGAGACGGTGTACAATTTGAGAGAAGAGAACAGACAACTAAGGAAAGCACACCAAGACATACATACACAGCTTCAAGATGTCAAGGTAAAAATCTAACCATGCATTTGACAGTGTAGTGTCTGCCTGATTTATTTGTGGAATGATTTAAAAGTCATTCCACATTTGACCTGTTCTACAAACCCACACTGTTTAATTAGGGCTTTGCATAAACTGAAGTGTGCCCAATACATTCACCATTACTGCATCGTAAGCTTAAAAAAAAAAAAAAAGAAAAAGATGGTCTGAAAATCCAAACATTTTCATCAGTACTGAAATGATTCCTTTGCTAAATGGTTGCATTTTCATACGCCCTTTTTTTTTTTTTTAAATCAACAAAGGTTTGTTAATATTGAAATATTTGTTCCTTCAGTTTTGATTTCCTTGTAAGTGATTATGATATTTGGGTAGCACATTCTAGATTTTTGGAATACTGCCTTTATCATAGTTGTCTCTCCACAGCGATTTTGAAACTTAACAAATACTACAACAAACAGAGAAATAAATAGGCGAGCAAGCAGTGTTTGGGTGGTCATACCACTGTCAGCCAAAAAAGAATTTGCCTTAGAATGTTAAAACTCAACGTGTAAAATTCTTTTTTGTGTAGCAACAGCATAAGAATTTACTCACCGAGCATGAACATCTTGTAGTGACTTTGGAAGACCACAAGAGTGCACTAGCGGCTGCACAGGTTAGAAGAGCAGCAGCCTCTTTCAGTTCTTTTTTCCAAGTCTGCTTCACATCTCTGAATTCCTCTGTGCATGTAGACTCCTAAAAGCCAATCTTCAGCGAGTTCCTGAGGGCCAAACTATTCTAACCCTGAAGATCATGCATGCTTTCAAACTTCAATCAAGAGCATATTAAAGAAACCTTTGATTATTTTTTTGCACTGATTGTGTAGCTCACATGACTGTGTCCACCTTGCATCAGCCCTTCCACGTAGCATTCTCGCTGTTTAAATCATAGAAGTTATTCTGTACATATGGTCTCTTGCCATGGCCTGACCTGTGTTGACTCCTGCTTTAGAATTTATAGGATATTTAGAATGTGATCTACCTAAATGAATGATAGTCAGTCTATTTCATTCCTCCCTTCCTTGCTGCCAGCATATCAGCCTACACACACACTCTTTTTGGGACTAGGCTGATGTGTTATTGGTGAGATGACAGAAATAAGAGATCTCATGTCAATACAGAAGGAAAGACAAGAGTTGTAAGTGGCATTTATTCAGAGCCGAGAGCAGACCCCGGCACACGGCAGCCCCTCACAGATGTTACTCAGTGAACAGACAGACAAGCACTAGTGTTGGACAGCTTATTAAAGCAATGCCATACGGAGCGGTTCACTAGCAGGAGTGAAGAATGGGGTCGGCTGGCTCAGTCATTATGGCTTTTCAATCATTAGGTCTTCACTTTTCTTCTCCTGGAAGAATTAAGAGGAAAGGGCAAAGGAAAACCAACCCTGTCCCACTATTAGGAGATTGTGTATCATCTTTTCTACTTATAAAATGATTACAAGTGTAGTATGGTGTGTCCTGGAACCTGAACTTTTAACCTGACCCTCCCATGAGCCCTAATGCATGTTAATATTTGAGAACCACAGCATTCGTGCCATCAAAAATTACATATTTAGGAGGAAGAGAAAGAAGAAAGGCTAGAATGAAGGTTTATGTATTCCTCCATATTTACCTTAAAATATTAAACGTATCTCTACAAGGAGGTCACTTGTTTTTCTCTTTGACCTCCAAAGTTGGTTGGCGAGTGTTGTGATAGATTTCTGGCCTAAGGACCATTGTTAGCCGAATGGCACATCTTTGTACAAATTATAAAGACACACTCTGGTGAGAGGCTTAGGAGGCAGACTTCACCTATTTTATTTTATTTTATTTTATTTTATTTTTATTTTATTTCCCCATCACCATTTGCCCCTCTGTGCCCCCGGCCCCCCTCTTTGTGTGAATTAGAGAGAGGCAGAGAGGCCCTCTTCCCTGGGTGGGAAGCGCCATGCAAATGCTTTGCCAACAGGAGGACCAGCAGGTTCTGGTCTCCAGCGCCCGCTCTGCTGTGCACCCCGAGCGAGGTGGCCCATCCAGGAGGCTTGTTCAGAAAAAGATGTTTGTGTTTGTGTGTCTGTAAGTGTTTGTACACACAGCCTTTCTGTTTTAGGGTAACAGTGTTGGTGCATGGGATGAGCTAAGTGTAAATTGTGTCTATTTGTTTTCTTAGTTAAGTTGTGGGGTTTTTCTACCCTTTTAACTCCTTATATTGAAAATAATTGTGCACACATACCCAACCACATACATACACAAATAGATACTCTTTTTCTCTACCTACATTAGTGCATATACCACTTTATTTAAAAGAAAAATACATTCAGAATTGAGGAATAAAAATTCAGCCTCACTTTGTGTTTGTGCTGTTTCTTTCCAAAAACCACAGAGCACAATACACAATACTGAAAGTGTTTTGGGGAGTAAGGAACCCTATTTGAGCAAAAAGAGGGTAGCTTAAGTGATTATATATCTATATCTATATCTATATCTATATCTATATCCATATCTATCTATCTATCTATCTATCTATCTATCTATCTATCTATCTATATTCAGTTACTTGTCTTAAACTTACTCCTTTCCACTGAAAAATGTTACTTGGAAAATATATCTGCACCTGTATTTATAATTATGTGAATTTTTAATAGATTTTCAGATGCTATAAAACCGATTGCAGTCTTCTAATAATGATATTATAACTAGGAAATAATTTATAAAAATTCTAACTTTGCTTAATGTAGCATGGGAAACTAACATCTATCTTTGATATTTTTTCCTCTGTTCCCTGTAACTCTAATTCTAATTTGCATGTGCTTTAAAAAGGTTAAGCATGTCCAAGTAAGAATAGCTAATGCATGGCAACAACCTTCATATTTTCTCCAACTTGTATTTAGGTGTACTGTTTTTGGCGAGTCTTCCAGTGAACCCTACTGCCCATCCATGAGTGATATCTTTTTTCTCTCTTCCAATTGTGCAATTGCTATGCAGACTCAAGTTGCAGAATATAAACAGCTGAAGGATACTCTGAATAGGATTCCCAGCTTTCGAAGAGCAGAACCGGCAGAGCAGCCAACTGTTACGCAGGTGGCACATTCCCCGCAAGGGGACACCATAGCAGGGGAGAATGCAGCCCGGGAGCAGCAGGAGGTAAGACTGATAACCTGAGGTCAGGCTCCTGGCCCTGTGAGGCTGTCACCAGGTGAACTGAGCTTCCTGCACAGCAGTGGTTTCCAGATCGCAGTGTATGTCAGAGCCCCCAGCAGGGCTGTTAATACAGGTGGCGGGGCCCAGCCCAGGGTTCAGATTCAGATAATTGAGTGAGGCCTGAGGATTTGCGTTTCTTCTTCTCCTTCCCCTCCTTCTCCTTTTTTTTCTTTTTTTTTTTTTCTTTCCTTTTTTGGATTGATTTCAGAGAGGAAGGGAGAGGGAGAAATAGATAGAAACATCAGTGATGAGAGAGAATCATTGATTGGCTGCCCACTGCACGCCCCACACTGGGGATCTAGCCCGCAAACTGGGCATGTGCCCTGACCAGGAATGAATTGTGAACTCCTGGTTCATAGCTGGACGCTCAACCACTGAGCCACGCTGAGGATTTGCGTTTCTGAATCAGCTGGGCTGGGAGCAAACTTTGAGAACGACTGCAGTGCTTTCTGGGAAACACACAGTGGCCCTGCCTTTCTTCACGTGGGTTTATTTGTTTCAAAAGAGCTGCCATGGCCTGAGATTTTAAGGTTTCTGGTTTTGGGGAATGACCATGGGTATGAGTACTAGTGTTAGGATTGACTTTTTTGTCTTCTGGTTCCTCATGAAAACAGCCTTTGCTTAAAACGATCTTCCAAGCAGGACTTCAAAAGTAGTGGCACCCTGATCATTAAATCTTACAGGTTGACTTTGCAGTCACAGGTGTGACAAGAAGGGACAGGATGGTGACCTTTTCCCCGACCAAGCTGCTAACAGTGAGTGTTTGAGAAGGCTCGCCCGCGTTCCCATCGTAGAGGGGTAATGAGTGATGGGTCTGCAGTCCCTGGGTCCTCCTGGACCCTTGTTCTCTGTCTGCGTCTCAGGCTACTACTAATTTATGAGAACATGACCAGATCCCTGGCCTGGGAATCAGTTTTATTCTCGACCCTTGTTTGGCTCACAGTCTGTTAGATGAATCTTTTAACGACTCAGAGCTTTCATGTTCCCACCTGTTGGCTGAAGATAGCTGTTTTCTGCTCAACCCTTCCTCACAGGGGTAGTGCGGAGATAGATGACTAAGTGTTTGAGAGCACTTAGTGTTCTTTAGAGAAATAAAACTGGGGCAGTAGTACATCACCGTTGTCAGGTGTGTTGGTAAAATGTACATCTCCAAATGTTGTCCTCAGATGTCCAAGAAAGGACTTTTCTCTCAAATTTGTTTTTATTTTTATTTATTTATACAACCCAGTTTTTCACTTATATTCCTGCTACTTTAATGAAGAGGCCTTCACATTTATTTCAATCATGGGAGAGCAATCTCACGAGAGAAGTTATTTTTTTCTGGTAAAGGAGGAGGTGGGAGAGGAGTGACAGATGCTCCTAGGGATGTGACATCATCTCCGTTTTGCCCTCTGCTCTAAGTAATGAAGATCATATAGGAATTTCTGAAACTTGCAGGGAAAACAGATTTAAGTAAATTCCTTTCAGAAGAGGGGTACTATTTAAACTTGTTGTTGTTGTTATGCAGGGTGTTCTGTATTAACAGTGCAAACTACAAAAGCCTTCCTCTGGTTTACAAGGAAACACCACTTAATACATGAAGAAGGGTTATTTTGTTTCTGGTGTCATGGGCACTGATTTTAGCCTCCATGGATGCCCATGAGTAAAGGCATTCTCTGTTTTTATCAGCGAATCCCAAATAAACCCAGCTCATCCTCTGCTTGATCTTATCCTTTCTCTTGAAATCCTTACTTAAGACAAAATTTACATGGAAAAGAAGTATATCAACATTTCATCCCTTGAAGGTATTATTTTTTAATATATATATATATATATATATATATATATGTTTTGTTTTTTTTTACAGGGAGGAAAGGAGAGGGATAGTTAGAAACATTGATGATAGAGAAACATCTATCAGTTGCCTCCTGCACACTCCCCCACTGGGGATGTGCTTGCAATCAAGGTACATGCTCTTGACCTGAATCGAACCTGGGACCCTTTCTCGTTGTGGAAAAGACAAAGGGACCCTTCAGTCCGCAGGCCGACACTCTATTCACTGAGCCAAACCTGTTAGGGCTGAAGGTGTTTTTTGTTTGTTTTTTTTCTTTCTCCCTCCCTCCCCCCCTTTTTTTTTAATTTTATTTTAAGGGAAAACAGAGGCTAGATTGCCACTGAGATGCGGTCACTGACAGATTGTACTTTCAGGTTATCTGCTCTGTTCTTCCCCAGAGGAAGTTTGCTTTTGCTCTATTTTAAAGGGGAGCTTACACAGTGAGAAGAGTTCACTGCACCCATACTTTTGAGTCAGGATTCTATACGTCTGGACTCCAGGATTGTGCCCATGCTGTAACCTATAGACATGTTTTTATTTATTTAAAATAAATCTTTATTGTTCAGATTATTACAATTGTTTCTCTCCCTCTTCCCCCCCCCCCCTCATTGCTCCCCTCCACCTGGAGGTAGATGACTCCACCCTCTGCCTTTACCTTCCCCTTCTCCTCGCTGTCCTCATCCATAGGTATATGATTTTTGTCCAATCTAGACATGGTTTTGAAGATAGGGTTGTGCTTGGCCTAGGTGTCTCGAAACAGCGATGCGTGGCAGAATCACGGAGCCGCGACGGGAAGAACAGAGGAAGCAAAACACGACCCTCCCACTCAGAAGGAGGCCGACCTTCAGGCGGCGGAGCTCAATCAGCCGCAGGCGGAATCCAGAGAGCCCGAGGGGCACCAGGTGGAAGAGGAGCAAAGGAAGGCCCTGGAGGAGGAGGCGATGGAGCAGGTGGGGCAGGCGGAACGTCTGGAGGAGGAGCACGACCCATCGCCAGAGGAGCAGGACCGGGAGTGGAAGGAGCAGCGGGAACAGAGAGAGGATGGCAGGGAAGGGCGCGCTCACGCGGAGGTAGGAGCTTCTCCACGACAGGGGGGCTCTTTCCCTGCCTGGGATGGGGGCATGGCTTTGATTTTAAAGAAAAAAAGCTTCCACATTTGGCAGTCTCTAAAATAAAAATGTGACCCTACCCAGTGTCACATGCACATACTTAACTTTTCCTTTATAATGTTAGAGCAAAGCTACTTACACACCCAAGTAAACTCTTTGGAGAGAAGAGAGAGAGCGGCTGGTCTGTGTCTGTGCTGTGTGTCCGCAGTACAGGAGGCGTGTGCTCACGTCCCTTTTACACACAACCTCCGAGGTGAGCACCTGCCTGGGCACCTTCCCAGGATGTGCTCAGGTCCTGTGGTCATCTTGGTTTTCTATGATCAAAGGTCTCTTCTCCCTGCTTACCTACTCCCAGGGGTATGCTGGCTTTAGCCCATTCACCTTAAGTTGTTTGCAAATTGCTGGTCACTGAAGGATACTCTACCAGGTGAGCATCTTTCAGCTCAGACTCCCACTCCCCCTCTCCCATAAATGAGATTTAGATACATCATTTATTTGTATCAGTAGTACTTTAAAAGAACTTTAAAGCAACACTGAATGCAGCTATAATAGGTATCTTTTTTTCCGCTGTCTCAGCCGATCCTCAGCAATAGGCTACCTGATCTTCGCATAGACACCGGCCACCTTTTATTTCTAACTGAAGTGGGCTTGGCCTTGAACTTTCCAACAGTTCAGGCTGATGGAGGTGTTGGGCTGGGCTCTGGTGATGCTGCCAACTTAGCCGCAAGAACCCTCCCAGTTTTGTGTCCTCTGTGGCTTGCTTCCAAAGCAGTTCTGCTCTGTGCATCGCATCCTTGGGGACAGAGGAGAGAGGTGGAGCCTTCAGTGGGAGTAGAGTTTAAGAATCCCTGCCTCCCTTGTTCCTTTGATCAGAAGGTTCCGTCTTCTCACCCATTCTTTGTTTCTTGGAATAAAATTGGTTCTCTGCTCTTGCAACCCTAATCTGAAATTTCACTTTTTGGCGGCTGCTAAGCCTGCGATTGGTGTAGACATCGCTCGAGTTAATTAGCATCCCTAGGTCTTTAGCCTCAAGCTCACAAATTGCCCCAATTAGTGTGCGGTCGCCAAGTTTCTGCTTATAACAGAGCCTTTGAACATAAGTTTAATTAAGGTTCAACGCTGATTTTTTCCTGGTTGTCCTCTCCCGTTTGAGAGGGAGTGCGCTGAAATTGGCCTTCCTGTCAGTAAGTCGGGCGGAGCAGTGGCCAAGAAGCCAAGGGTGACTCACAGGGAGCTGGGAAATGGGAGTCCTAGCACTGGGTGACCTTGGGTGTCACGTGGAGTCACTGCTCACCTGACAGAGAGGTTTGAATGCACCCACCCGGCCTCCTGAGTTTGTCCTGAGAAACAAAGGAAGGGAGAATTCAGAGGACCCGACGGCTTTTGCTCAACTCCAACTCATCTTCCCCAGGTGCATCCTTCAGCAGAGCCCGTGACCAAGTTCCGATCTCCGTACGAGGAGCAGCTGGAACAGCAGAGGCTGGCGGTGAGGCGTGCAGAGGAGGCCCAGCGGCTGAGGCAGCACCAGGAGGCCCTGCACCAGCAGAGGCTGCAAGGACACTTGCTGAGGCAGCAGCAGCAGCAGCAGCAGCACCAGCAGCAGCACCAGCAGCTTCTGGCCCAAGAGATGGCCCGGCAGAGGCAGGCCCTGCAGGAGGAGGGGCGGCCTCATCGCCCGGAGCAGCTAAGGTAGCTTCTGATGGCTGTGGATAAGCCCTCCTCTAGTTTTCAGAAGCTGATTATAAACAGTTTCCTGCATTTGTTATCCATGCACTCAAGAGGCTTATTGCTCCAGTAGCTGAGGCAGAATTAAATTCCAAATATTTAGTTTTAAAAGTACGTAACTAACATTTTGTTTTTCTCCTTAAAGATGACAGTTTGGGTCTCAGAATAATCTGGCAGGTTTTGTGCCAGATGTATTTTATCATTTGAAAAGTAGTTTCTCTTTTTTAAGTTATCCTTTGAAAGTATATCTGGCATCTTTATGAAACCCAATGGCATCAGCTTTTTAAAGAAATGTGTATGGCTTCTTTAAAAAGGTTGAAAAATTAGTTTATTGCTGTGCTTAAAGACAAATGGCTTGAGTCAAACTGTGCTACTTAATTTGTGTTGCTGAGTTCATAATGTTTGTGCCCTTGCAGGCAGCAAGCTCATTATGATGCTATGGATAACGATATTGTTCAGGGAGCAGAGGACCAGGGCATCCAAGGAGAAGAAGGAGGTGGTAAGACTTCTTAGATGATGAATGTTTTAATAAAAGCGCTTAGTAGTACATAACCAACTCAGAGTTATATGCATCTCTGAGTACATGCAAAGGAGACTTGTGTTCCATGTATCTTTTAAAAAAATTTTCCTGTATTTTTCGTAATCCTTCCTGAGGTTTTCTTAATCCTTCCAAACAGTTCACATTAGTAGCCAAAATTGCCCAAGATAACACTTCCTCTGCAACATGTTAGAGTGGGAAATAAATAGTAGTTTGAGCTTTTGTATACCAAATAGTTATTTTCTGACACATTATCATAAGACCATTATGCTCTGGGAAACATCTTCATTATCTCCTTACCTTGGAGGCTTTTGGATCATAGCGTGAAAAGTTTTGAAACATTAAGTCAATAGTAGCTTTCCTTTATAGTGTGCCTCTAGTATGTAATTTATCCAATATTGCTCTCCCCGACAATAGAAGTGGGAAGTAACTCTCTCTGACAACACTAACACTTAGATATGTATTCTTTCTAAAGTCTAAAGGAAGGTGATTACCCAAACTCCCTCTATAGCCTGTTCTCGTGGTTTATAGCCCTTATAGTCAGGAAATTGTTTTCCTTATGTCAGCACTTTAAGCTTTTTTGTTCTATTATCAGTAAGACAAAAGAATGGTTTGTTCACTTCTTTATTTAATGAGTCCTTGGGTGCACTTGACACCTGATGGTAAGTTATCCTGCATTTTTATTTTCTATAGGTCAAATATTCTTCGTATTTTTAACCTTTTCTCTAATAGCTTACTTAACAAGTTACTTCTGCCCTAGCTGGTTTGGCTCAGTGGACAGAGCATCAGCCTGCAGACTGAAGGGTCCTGGATTCTATTCCAATCAAGAGAACATGCTTGGATTGCAGGCTCAATCTCTAGTAGGGGGCGTGCAGGAGGCAGCCAGTCAGTGATTCTCTCTCATCATTGATGTTTCTATTTTTTCTCCCTTTCCTTCCTCTCTGAAATCAATTTTAAAAAATCCTATCTAATAAAGAGGGAGTATGCTAATTGACCTTCACACCTTTAAAGATGGCAGTGCCCACGGCCAGTAAGAAGGTAATATGCCAATTGACTGTCACTCCCTCAAAGATGGTGGCGCACACAGCCACACTATGGCGGCACTTCCTCCCCTCAGCCAGCCTGGCTCCCAAGTCCCCCTAATTCCCCCAGACCCCCAGCCACTCAGGGCCACCCAAGGCTCAGGTAATGAGGGCTGGCTGAGGCTAGCGCTGCCAGCAATTGCAGCAGCAGAGGTGTGATGGGGCATCACCTTCCCCTGATTGCCAGGTTGCCTCCCATCCCTGAGGGCTCCCGGACTGTAAGAGGGAGCAGGCTAGACTGAGGGGACTTCCCCTCCCCCCATCCAGTGCATGAATTTTCATTAACTGGACCTCAAAAAAATAAATAAATAACTTATTTGTTCTCTTTGTGCTCTTATCTCAATTCTCTTTATGAAAAACATTTTCTTCCAAAAGCAGCAACAAGTACATGTCTGTGAGAGGATAATACGAAGTATGTGCCATCGCATGGTGTCAGAAAGTACAGGATAGGGAGTATTTGTTTTTTCGTTCCACACATGGGTTGTGTTTTCCTTTTCTTCAAGAAACTGTCAATTTCTCCTTTTGGTACCTTGACATTTCCCCTGATATTAACCAAAAATTAGTTGGTAATTTTAGCAATGTCTGGTTGACTGGGCTTTCTTTGAGAGCGTTTTGATTCTTGACTTGTTCTACAAAATGGAGTGGGAATGGGGATAAGAAATTGCAGTTTCCATTATAAACATTTGTTTCAGAGACTTAGAATGGTGATCTGCTTAGACACACAGTTTGGGAAAAGGACATGGCATTATTCAGAAAATCTGGGAAGTAAGTTTTACTTTGTATTTTTTTAAAATATATTTTTATTGATTTCAGAGAGGAAAGGAGAGAGAAAAAGAGATAGAAACATCAGTGATGAGAGAGAATCATTGATCGGCTGTCTCCTGCATGCCCCACAGTGGGGATTGAACCCATAACCTGGGCATGTGCCCTGATTGAGAATCGAAGCATCAGAGGTTCATAGTTCAATGTTCAACTACTGAGCCAGACCAGCGAGAAGTACCCCCTACTTGGAATTAAACTCACAGGAGGAAAATATTGGGTGAAATGGTCTCTAGAAAAGCCTCCTGGTGGCTTTTGTTTAGTGAAAGGAAAGCATCCTGTGTGATTCGCCTTAGCTCATGTCAATTCCTTTGATTTGCTAGCCTATGAGAGAGACAACCAGCACCAAGATGAGGCAGAGGAAGACCCAGAGAACGGCCAGGAGCCTCAAGGACAGGGGCTCCGGGAAGCGGACCCAGACTCTGAGGCAGACGTAAGTGTCCTCTCTTCTGGGCATGACCCAGGAAACTCCCAGGCAGAAAAGGAGCTGGCAGGTTTGCCGCACCCCCGGCCTCTGGCTCCAGATACACCTGTCATTCCATCAGCACGGGAGGAAGGCAGCTTGCACCATACCATAGAGCAGTGTTTCCCAAACTTTTGACATATGTGTACCCCTTCTATAATTTTCGTAATGCTAAGTACCCCTCGTACTCATGAGAACATAGAATTAGGCGCAGCTAAGCACGGTGCAGTGCATACCCCCACCAAACTCCAGTGCAACACGTAACCCCACCAAACTCTTCCCGTACCCCTGGGGGTACGCGTACCACACTTTGGGAAACACTGCCATAGAACAAAATTGTTAACTGTACACCATGGAGGGGCTGTGTGATGAGAATGGGTTAAAGTTTGCTCTGGGGAAACACCAAAGGATTCTTTCCCTGATGAATAAATGAAAATTTTATATATATATATATATATATATATATATATATATATATAAAATTTTCATTTATATATTCATTCATATTTCATTTATATATGACACACAATATTCATATATATATAAAATTTTCATTTATATATTCATTCATATTTCATTTATATATGACACACAATATTCATATATATATAAAATTTTCATTTATATATTCATTCATATTTCATTTATATATGACACACAATATTCATATATATATATATATATATATATATATGTGTGTGTGTGTGTGTGTGTGTGTGTGTGTGTGTGTATCACAAAAGCAAAATTGGAAGGCATTGAAAAATGTAGTAATCTGGAAAGATGGGAGAAAAAGTCAAGTGTGGGAGTTGGAGAGGGACCAGAGAAAGGGAATGAGCTTTCATTGGGCCTGGGGAGCATCTGCTAGGGTGGTATGTATGTCAGTGAGCATTTTCATAAATACATGGATAAGCAGGTGTGATTCAAGAAGTGAAAAACGTTGCGCAAGTACCATGGTGCTACACTGCGTTTACCAAAAGAGGACTGAGACTCCCAGCTCAGCCGGGTTGTTGTCGGGTTTTGGCCTTCCTGTGAGTACAGAGAACAAATGCTGGAGGCACATGTTCTTGTGCTGATGTGTCCATACTATAGGCAACTTACTGTAGCTCTCCTGTCCTCTTTGGCTAGAAAACCAACCACCGTGTTTATAAAATGTAGTCTATGCTGTCCCGTGGGCCTTGTTTACATTGAGTCTGTGGACTGAAAAAAAAGGCTCCCCCTGCTTCCTTGATTATCGTCAAAAAAAGTCCTCCTCCTGATGGCTGCCTACATCCACCGTGATGGATATGGCTTTCACACTCGACTTGCATGGAGAGGTGGTAAAACACATTTGCCTGCCAGCCCTGGAATTAGCATTTTGAAAGAATGCCCCAGGAAACCCTAGCCCTGAAATATTTTCAGGAAAGAGCAAGAGCTGGAGAGAGCAGAGAGTCTAAGAGAGCTGGAATGTGAAAGAGCAAGGGAGGGAGTGTGCAAAAGCTGAGTGTGTGCCTGAGAGGGAGGGGTGAGGGGGAAGGGAGAGGGGGAGTATCCAGTTAGTGGAGGATGTTGAGTGCTTTGATGACTTAGAGTCTTTTGCTCTGTTGACATCAGTTTGTTGGATCTGGAGGACACACAGAAAACATTGGCCTCTCTTCTCCACCATGCCTTCTTTAAATTAGAAATTGTTAGCTCGTTTGTATCTCTCTTTGTCTTATCTCTTTCATTTACTTTTTTCTTCAATGCTTTTTAAAAATTACATTTGACACACAATATTATATTAGTGTCAGGTGTACAACATAGTGATTGGACATTTACATAACTCATGAAGTTGTCACCCTGATAAATCAAATATCCATCTGACACCATGCATAGTTATTACAATATTAGTGACTATATTCTTTACTTTACATCCCCCACTACTGTTCTGTAATTACCAATTTGTACTTCTTAATTCCTTCGCCTTTTTCCATCTTCAGGGAGGTGTAATTGACCATCTAGTTATTTTATTAGGATCCTAAAGGCCCAATTCATGAAATTCATGCAAGAATAGGCCTTCCTTCCCCCGGCTGCTGGCACCTGCTTCCCTCTGGCACCCGGGACCTGGGCTTCCCTCTCAACCTGGCTTTGTCTGGAAGGTGATCTGGAAGGACATCTGGTCTAATTAGCATATTAGACTTTTATTATTATAGATAACAACCAGGCCTGATCAACCTTACTCATTACTTGAGCAGAGTTGGAGCTAGTGTGTATATTTTTACTAACTTTTGCAAAAGGTTTGCTATTTTTTTCTGAAGAGAATGTATGACTTTTTTTTTTTTCCTTTTTGTTTCCACATGAATTATTGATCATGTACAACAAGAAACCCATATGACAAGGGACGGTGGAGTACCTGGGATTTAGTGTGCAGGCGGTGACCTCTCGGTCTCTCTCTTCCCAAGAAGCAAGTGTCATTTGCACTTGAATGGAGTGTGTAGCTGGGATGTACCGATGACAGTGCAGCGGAGACTGCCGTGAGCTCTCCAGCGTGCCCAGGGCTCTGGAGTGGGTTGAAATAGAGTCTGTCTGGAGAAGCCACTAGAGAGGAAATCCCACTGCGAGGCTCCTCCATCTCCAGAGCATTTGCTGCTTCAGTCAAGTGTCCTGTTGATGACACTGGAGTGATGGGGAAGCCGGCCATGCGCCGCCTTACTGTGCAGCTCAGGCTCTGAAATCAGAACCTTTATGAGGCTGTGTTTTGTTTTGAGAGGCACCTTGGGAACTTAAGTGGAAAACCGAGATCATGTTAAAGTTGGTAATAGGAAGGGAATTTGTTGAACACAGGAACTAAGAATCACTTGGGAGGTAGGATGGGTTGGGAGATATTTTTCAAAACATGTTGCCAATGGTGGGTTAACTCGGTTCTCCTTGTCCTATCCCTGGCCAGTGCAATGTCTCTCAGGGTCCTGACAGTGTTCCTTGTAAAGAAATGTCATCTGTACTGGATTCTGATCATTGAGTTTATATATATATATATATGTGTGTGTGTGTGTGTGTGTGTGTGTGTGTGTGTGTGTGTGTGTGTATATCTTTATTGTTGAAAGTATTACAGATCTGCCCCTTTTTTCCTCATTGACCTCTTCCAGCCTACCCCTACCCCAACCCCAGGCCTTTACCACCCTATTTTCTGTGTCCATGGGTTATGCATGTATGCATACACGTTCATTGATTGATCTCTTTGATCATAAGAGATCATTTACTTTTGAACTAGCCCCCTTCCTGCCTTCTATGTAGCCTCTTCTTGGGTCCTTTCCGGTGTGGGCCTTCTTTCTCTTCAACTGCTTTTACACCCACTTACTTGGGAAAAGTTGCTTTGAAGGAAAGCTTGTCTGTATCAGTGAATGGAATTACCATTTGCCCATCTAAACCTTCCCTGTTAATTATTTCTCCTATTTGGTCTTTGGTTTTTATAGACTGTTTTTCCAGTGTCTATTTTGTGATGCTCCCATTGCTTGTGACAGCAAAGTGTTGAGGACCCATTTGGAATCCCTTAGAGAAGAGAAGCGCTCAACCTATTTCATTCTGATTCCTCAGCCTCTGACAGACAACACAGGAGTTTTATCTTCTGACAGCAGGGTGTGTGCTCATGTGTGTTGGCAGGGTTAGATCTGAGCAGTCCTCTGAAGGACCATTTCATTTTCTGCCCACGTGTGGCCTCTCAGATGAAATTAAACTTGATCCCGGGTTTTGAAGTGGTGGTTGCTTTTCATTAAAATTTTACAGAGGGCAGCTGTGGAGGACATCAACCCCGCGGATGACCCTAACAATCAAGGCGAAGACGAATTTGAGGAGGCCGAGCAAGCGAGAGAAGAAAACCTACCAGATGAAAACGAGGAGCAAAAGCAAAGGCGGCAAAAGCAAGGGAACGCGGAAATGGAGGAGCATTTGGTGGTAAGCAGAGGCCATTCTGGGGGTGGAAGTGGCTCCTGGGCATTTGAATAAATGCCTCTTTTATGCAGCCGATGAGTCATGACCTGTGTTGACAGAAGGTTCGCCTCTTTGGCTGGTTTTCAGGCCGCTGTATGGAATGATGTGTCTGCACTCGGGGAGAGGGGGTGACGGATGGCCTGGGCTTTGTGTTGGGAACGGTTACTCATTATTCCCTGGCCACTGATGCAGGGAACAAGCAGTAGGCTTGTTCTTTGTCCCAGAGTATTGTAGAGCACCTCCCTGACTTTCAGTGACTGAGCCTCCCCTTTGTGTCACAGATGGCGGGAAACCCAGACCAGCAGGAGGATAATGTGGATGAGCAGTACCAGGAGGAGGGCGAGGAGGAGGTAGGAAGGCGGGAGGGATGCAGGGGACTGACTGCACGCACCCTCACCAAACCTCCGCAGCAACGGTTTTAAAGTGTCTTTTTTTCAGAAATGTTTATGGAAAGACTTGGGCAGGATAAGAAAGGAGGTTTCAAGAGGAAATGGCCCATGGCAGTGGACACACTGGTTAGAAGGTAACCGTAGCAGGAGAAGAGAATTCCTTCTTCCTGGCTCTCAAGAAGACATCTGGCCGTCCAGGAATAGTGGACTGGGGCACAGATGGTCTCTGTTAGGATTTTTCCTGCTGTATCTGTCCCTCATGAAAGAGAGAAGAGCAGCGTCCTGCACGCTGAGGGAGCCTGCACAAACCCACAGCTTTCTCTGTAGACTGAACAGTGCCTGCCCCCCAGTGCCCCCCAGGGCCTGTCGGAATAGGCTCCGTACCCTGCAGGTATTTACAGTAAATATGTGGGCTCTGGTTCTCCGTTTAGCTTTTTCCCCTCCCAAGAATCCGGTATCTTAATTACATTTAACAGTACAGAAAAGGAAAATTATGGAAGGAACTCAGTTGAGTAAAATGCATTTAGGTAGAAATTTTTCACCTTTCATTCCAATTTGCTTTTTTATTGTACATTTCTGGCATATTCGTGTCAGGTTTAGAGCATCGTGGGGCCACATTTGTGTACCTGACTGCTGAGTGCAGCTGGTGGTGGCCACTTTGCCGCAGCACGTCACTGCCTGGACACCTGACGCTCTGTACTTGGGGACGTGGCATGGAGGAGGCCAATGCCCTGTGTCCAGTCTCTCTCTGGACCAGTGAAGGTGTCTCTCAGTTAGGCATCCAGCTACTGTGTGGCTTTGGCCGAAAGGGGATGAGAGGATGGACAAGTGGCAACCTGAACAACCCATCCCCCCCAACCTCGCCCATGGACCTGCTGAGAACATTTGTGCTGCTGCCCTCAGTGCACAGTTACCCCCGAGACCCTGCTCAGAACATCTGTCCTGCTGCCCTCAGTGCACAGTTATTACCCCTGACCCTGCTCAGAACATCTGTCCTGCTGCCCTCAGTCACAGTTATTACCCCTGACCCTGCTCAGAACATCTGTCCTGCTGCCCTCAGTCACAGTTATTACCCCTGAAACCCTGCTCAGAACATCTGTCCTGCTGCCCTCAGTGCACAGTTATTACCCCTGAGATCCTGCTCAGAACATCTGTCCTACTGCCCTCACTGCAGTTACCCCCGAGATCCTGCTCAGAACATCTGTGCTGCTGCCCTCAGTGCACAGTTATTACCCTTGAGATCTTGCTCAGAACATCTGTCCTGCTGCCCTCAGTGCACAGTTATTACCCCTGAGATCCTGCTCAGAACATCTGTCCTACTGCCCTCAGTCACAGTTATTACCCCTGAAACCCTGCTCAGAACATCTGTCCTGCTGCCCTCAGTGCACAGTTATTACCCCTGAGATCCTGCTCAGAACATCTGTCCTGCTGCCCTCACTGCAGTTACCCCCGAGACCCTGCTCAGAACACCTGTGCTGCTGCCCTCAGTGCACAGTTATTACCCCAAGACCCTGCTCAGAACACCTGTGCTGCTGCCCTCACACACACAGTTCCGTGACTAAGTCTGCTTTCTCGTGTTTGTTCCATTTGTCGGCTTTCAGAGCTAATGCTAAAACTTGGGCTTGTGCCAGGCACAAAAGGATGTCACTCTTTAAAGCTGTCAGCAACCTATGTCTCTAGTCACATGCACTCGAACTGGCTTGATCTTTTCATTTTCTCTTTTCTCACCCTGCTGTTCCCTCTGATGTGCCTTATCAGAAAAGAGCATTAAAGAAACTTGTCGCCTTGAATATTAAGGCATTTGGCAAGCTAGATCCTGTCTGGGCTTCTCTTGTAACAGGATGTCTAGACTAATATTACTTCATTTCATTATGGCAGATTCCAGGAATCTTTGAGGGATTAAAAGAGGAACGATTCACCTTGGTTTCTTTTTAAAAATTCAGAGGGGAAACATAAAATTTTAATCAGTATTTACGGATGATTTTTTTACTTCTGTGTTCTGTCAGTTAAGGTGGAGAGAGAATCCTGTGATCCACAAAGGATCAAGGTTAGAAAGAGAAGACTGACAGATACAAGGAAGTGTTGGGGGAGAGGGGGAGGGAAGGGGATGATGGGGACCAGGCAGAGGTCAGTGCCTCACCCTCGGCAGCCCCTCCCTCAGGCCCAGACCCTTCCCTCTGGGTGCAGAGCTGCCAGCACCCTTTTCCTTACTGCACCGAGCCAGGTCCTGCTTCTCATTGGCCAGTTCCTTGCCCAGAGCGCCTGTGTTTGGCATCTGCACCCCCACTTTCCAACCCCCCCTTGCATAGGCTCCAGGTTGCCACACCCTCTCCTTTAGGGTGTTGCCTCATGAACTCTGAGGAAGCCCAGTGAGCCTTTCTTCTTCTCTGGCTAACTTTCTTCCCTGCCCCTGAACGTCCCTTGTCCAAGCTGTGTGGTCTTTTTCTTGTGGTTCCTAGCTGATGATTATTAGATCTTCCACCTCCTTGCATGGTTCCCAGTTCTTCTCTTGAGGGGGGCCAGAGAACATTGGTTCCCAAATACCTTTCAAGGACGAGTAACAGTCAGCGACAAAGATCTCAGCAGGCAGGAGCAAAGTGAGAAAAGTAAAGAGGATTGCAGAGTGAGAGAATGCATATTGTGTTGCTTATAGGGACTGTGTATGTGACACTGCTTGTAGGGCACAAGGGAAACCAGAGAATGCTGGGAAGTGTACTTTACTGTTGTCACCATCTAGCCTCAGGGTCTCCTAGCTGCCCCACCGGCCCCTGGGATGTGTGGCTCACTGCTCTCGTGGGATTCCTCCTTCCGCAGGAAGTGCATCTTGCTAGGGCAATACCTGTTCAGAGGTGCAGTCTCTATCAGATTTGTGCCTTGACCTCTGAAAGTAGAGAACCCCAAACCAGTGTGATTTTAGGAAATGTGCACAGTCCCTGCCTTCTTTGTCTGAATGCAGCGTTGTCAGTCACCCTTCAGAGACAGAAAAATGGTGGTTATTGACAGAATTCATTGTTTATTGTTTGGGATTTTTTTTTAAGTGAAAGACATTTATATGATGATCACATGCTCTTGTTGCTTACTTCCCAGATTTTTTTAATCTATTTATGAGAAACGACAAATTATGGCATTACCCAAAAACATGCTCTGGGTGCTTTAAAATTACTTAAGTACTAAAAAAAAAAAAAAAAAAAAAAAGGAGATAGAATGATGGCTTGACTACTCTGAGTGCTCAGTTTCCTCGGTGTTACTGGGGATGGATTGATCTGAACACTCACAAGAGGGTAAGCACAAGGTTATGTGGCGCCGTTAGCGGTGGGCTGTGAGCCATCACACCAAGAAGCTGCCCATCCGGCAGAAATGCTTCTGCTGAGTATACTCAGTAAGCAGTGGTGCCCATCACTATGGCTGCCATTGCTGAAGGCCTCTCTTCCGTCACATCCCATCTACCTGTTTGGGTCCTAGCATTCCTGACTACTTACAGTTCAGCCTTCTGATTTCTTGCTCATCCCACAACATCTTTGATGTGTCAAAGGTGTTAATACATCCAGGGACAGGGTCAGCGTAGCTAACCAAAACCCACTTCAGACTCTGTAGACTTGCTTTTTTAAAAAGTTAAATTTTAAAAAAGTTTTATAAAATTGATTTTTAGAGAGGGAGAGAGAAACATCGATCAGCTGACTCTTGCATGCCCCTATCAGGGATCAAGGCCTCCATCCAGGAATGGAACCAGCAACCTTTTGGTGCATAGAACGATATCCAACCAACTGAGCCCCACTGGCCAGTTGTTTGTTTCGGCTATTGATTAAACTTTGCCACATCACTTAGGGACCATTTCTAAAATGCTTAAAACACCAGAGTCCCATGAACAAAAATGAGAAATGAGGAGCAGCGTTGGGAAATCTCTAACAAAATGTTTGCATCAGCTTTAACAGGATGCTAAAGAGCGCTGAATGTGGCAGACATAATTGGTGTGTCTGCATGTAAAAAGGTACTAACATTTGGCTTCTGAACTAGATTCATTGATTTAGACTAATGGTTATTAGTCTAAGCATATTTTGAAATTAGAAACTATATCATTTTGTTTCTTTTTCAGTAATGTCTCTAAGATGAATTTGAATTACTTATGCCCCAAACATGAAGAATATATTACTAGGATAATAGAATATATCTATAAATCTGGAAAATTAGAAAATTTTTATTTGTGGGCTCCCTAAATTAAAGACTAATTTCATTTTGTACTTCCCTCCTCATATTATATTGACATATAGTGATCAGCCTACATTTCTACAACATCTCAAGAGAAGAGCAGAAAGAACTCCTAAAAAGGGTGTTTATCATTCTAGCCAGAGACATGCTAGCCAGTATTCATGTCACTTGAGCGAGTGGCTCTTAGTCTTTGCTGTGGCTGAGAATCACTTTGGAGAGTGTGTGAAAAATACAATTACTGGTCAGACCTTACCCTTGGAGATTTTGATCTTATCTATGGTACACCCTAGAAGGCAGAGTCGTACACAAACTCCTGGCTGATGTTGATTCAGCAGCACACTATTTAGAATCACAGTCCTAGGACAGATGGTTGCAGGTAGACTGTGGGAAGTCAGAATGACCTGAAACTCCTGAGCAAAATGATGTGTATCTATGCCCATTTGCTAACGAATTTCTTTTTTTAAAAAAATAATATATATTTTATTGATTTTTTTTTTTTACAGTGAGGAAGGGAGAGGGATAGAGAGTTAGAAATATCGATCAGCTTCCTCCTGCACACTCCCTACTGGGGATGTGTCTGCAACCAAGGTACACGCCCTTGACCAGAGTTGAACTTATGAACCTTGAGTCTGCAGGTCGAAGCTCTATCCACTGAGCCAAACCAGTTAGGTCATGCTAACAACTTTCTTACCAAAGTCTTAAAAGGATCCATGATTTACCCCCCCCCCAAAAAAAAAATGACAAAGATTTTATCCAACCTTTTTATTTTACAGATAAGAAATTTGAGGTGCAGAGAGGGTAGCTAATATATTGAAGGTCACACAATTTGCTATTGTTAGAACCATGATTAGAACACACTGAGGTCTGCTTTTAAAGGCTTCCATAATTAAGTATATATTATGCAGGTAATTAAATTTGCAGGTAACTAAATTATGCAGGTAACTAAAATTGATATAGTCAAGTTCTTCTTTGTAGAATTCAGTGAACACAGAATGAGTGATAGAATTATAAAGAAACCATTTCTGTAAGCCCTAATTCAAACAGTTGATTTAATACCAATCATCAATGGTTGACATCACTAGATGAATGAAAGTCCTGGAATTTTACCATGAAGGGATCAGGCTGTCACCATCGGGCTCACTGAACAATTTCAGCCTCACTGAGAGTGGGACAAACATCATGAACCTCCCTATATGATGCAAATAGGAATTCTGAAAAACCCTTGCTTTGCAAATTGAATCTGAATTCATCCAAGCCTTAAGCTAACTTGCTTTTATAAGAAATGTCAGGGCTTAAGGAATGAGTTAACTATTGCCTTAAAGAAGCAAATAAGTCCAGAACATGGGTCTTTCTATAAAACAACGAACCAGTAACATTGATTCATCGATTGAGGAAAACAGAGAGGAATAGCATCTAAGTGACCTGTGGCCTTTGTTTGGATGATGACTAGAACAAACCAACTATTAATAGACATTTTTGTAAGACAATCAGGAAGATGTAGTAAGGACTAGACACTAGATGATACCATACAGTAATTTATGGGGGGGATTGGTTGTTTATCACGTGAGGATATTTTTCCATTCATTTTTAGAGTGGAAAAGAGGGGGAGAAATACAAAGATAGATTGATGTAAGAGAGATACATCTTGACTGGAATCAAACCCGGGACTCTTCAGTCCACAAGCCGACACTCTATCCACTGAGCCAAAGGGGCTAGCAGGTGTTTTAAAGACATTATGGTTATAAAAGAAAAGCCCATTGTTTTTAGAGATATATACTGAAATGTGTGGGAGTGAAATTATATAATATCTAAAAATGTTGACGAATAAGTCATCACACAAAAAAAGAGAAGCAATAGGTGATGCAGGTGTGGCAATATTGTGATGCCTTTTGAGCCTTGCTTATGACTGTTAAGAATTCATGACATTTTCTTTGCATGTGCTTGAAAAAATTTATAATAAAAACAAATGGCCTCATTGTTTATACAGCCAGGAGAGTTTTGGAAACAAGGTTTTTGTCCAGGTTTGTCTGACTCCACAGTCTGTGTTAGTGGTTGGCAAACTACTGGCTTCAGTCTGTTTTGTAAATGAGGTCTTAGGGGAACACAGTCATGATGTTTTATTTGCTTCTTGTCAGAAGCAACCTCTGCACTATAGCGCTAGAGCTGGGTAGTTGCTATACGTTGTGGCCGAGAAAGCTGAATATTTACTATCTGGACCTTTACAGAAAAAGTGTGCCAACCCTGATTTACATATTCTGTCCACCACAGTGTAGTTTCCTCCCGATCCCAACCAAGCCATGTTATTTTTCACTAGTATATTTTCATTATTGTGGCGATAGCAGACATATATCTAATCACTGAAATTGACCAGGGCATTTTAGCAATTTAACGATGTTTCAATTAGTGAGACCTTAATGTAATCTGAAATGAGTGCTTCATCGTTTTCATGCCACTGTCCTGGGGACTGTTGCTAATGAGGTTCTGTGGCTAAGGGCAAAGCAAAGTCAGGGACCACAGCTAGAGCCTGCCGGTGCAACGTGCATGTAGCTCACCCCACTAAGCCATGTGACTATAAAAGAGGGTCAATGCCTCTGTCCCCATAATGAATTTTATTTCGTGCCAGTGTGAATCCAGATGGTGTTAGGCTGGTAAGGAAGGTCCATGAAGGCTGACCACTGTCTAGGGCATCCTTGAAGGGTCAACTCTATAGGCTCCGAACAGACCAGGTTCACTCCAAACCTTGTCTGGTAGGGTGGGGTTTATTACAGTTGTACCTGGGCCTAAGCATCATGGGACAGCCCTCCTTTTCTTTCTTTTTTTAATATATATTTTATTCTTTTTTTTTTTTTTTTTTTTTTTTTTTTACAGAGAAGAAGAGAGAGGGATAGAGAGTTAGAAACATCGATGAGAGAGAAACATCGATCAGCTGCCTCTTGCACATCCCCTACTGGGGATGTGCCCGCAACCAAGATACATGCCCTTGACTGGAATCGAACCTGGGACCTTTCAGTCCGAAGGCCGAAGCTCTCTCCATTGAGCCAAACTGGTTTCAGCAGCCCTCACTTTCTTGCTCCTTAATTAGAACACCTGCCTACTTCCTTCCCTTGCCCATTTCTGGGATTTTTAACACATCCCCCCTCTGCACCAAAAGAAATATTTTTTAAAAGTCAGGTCATTTCATGTGTTATTCTGGAAGACTCACTCTATAACACTGTCCTTGGAGAGAATGGGTTTTCTTTTGGTACCAGGACAGAACATGATGTTTAATGGATGATCAGCAATTTTTTTGAAATGTATTCAAATGATTCAAACCTTTTGGCATACATACGGTTTTCCAAACAGTCAAGTTAGAAAATATTTTCTAAGATATTTCCAATTCCTATATAATGCATTCACTAAATAAATATTACTTAGCAAAAATATTTGGATGATTTCTTTGATGTGCATTTTGGAAAAAAAAATAATTGGGATCAAAGACATGACATAGTGGTGATAGAATAGATAATAGAAAACTATTTAAAACGTAAGTGTCATGTTAGGACACTGAACAGATATAGGGATTTGAGGCAGTTGAATTGCTATTTTATGAAGAAATTGAAATTATTGTGTTCTGAGTTCTAGATATTTTAGATAGAAAAGTTTGTTCTTAATTATAGAAATTTTTCTCCTATTTTATATATATACGTCATATGGTTTGTTTTCTTTGCCTTTATTTTATATATATACGTCATAAGGTCTGTTTTCTTTGCCTTTGCAGAGCAGATATTTTTTGCATTGAATCATTTATTCATTCATTCAACAGCGTTTATTAAGCAATTGCCATGTGCCAGGTATGCACATATCGTAGGTACAGAAGACAGTTGAGTAAGATATTTTTATAGTAGCTGTATTATCCACTTCTTCATAGGTAATAGACAAATCAAATATTGGACTTACCTTTTTTCAAATTTAGTTTTAGTTTAATTTTGTTGCTGCTCTTTAAATGAACTCTTTAGAAATTATAATGTGTTGTTTCAAGTGTTTAAATGATAAAAAGCATCACCCAGTATCTTTGATTTGTTTTAGGTTCAGGAAGATTTGACTGAAGAGAAAAAAAGGGAATTGGAACATAATGCTGAAGAGACCTATGGCGAAAACGATGAAAATGTACGTTTAGGATGTGTATTTCTATTGATTATGTTTGCACATGTGTAGGTGATACATGTATATGTAGTTGGATCGATACCAGTCAGTACATCTAAGGCGCCACAGAATTTAACGGGTTAACCTGGACCCAGAAAAACTTGTGACAATATGAAAATTAAGAAAGACTGTAGCACTGTTGCTTCTTGGAACATTTTTCTTCACTTTTCTTTCTTCCAAAAAATGAGTAACTTCTCATAATTTTTAAATTTATTTATTAATCCTCACCTAAGGATTAAATTTATTTATTAATCCTCATCTAAGGATATTTTTCTCATTGATTTTTAGACAGATTTTTAGACAGGATGGGAGAGGGAGAAACACAGAGAGAGAAACATTGATGTGAGAGAGACACATGAATTGGTTGCTTCCTGTTACATACCCTGACCTGGGTGGGGATCGAGCCTGCAAACAAGGTACATGCCCTTGACCAGAATTGAACCCAGACTCTACAGTCTGCAGGCTGATGCTTTATCCACTGAGCTAAACCGGCTAGGGCATCACCTTTTTTTTTTTTTTTTTAAAGAGGGAATTATTTATCTCACTAACTCTATACCCTATCTCTTAGATGTTGTTTTTTTCTTTTAATTTTAAGGTCAATGAGAAAAACAATGATCGAGAGGAACAAGAAGTTCGAGATGACAACCACCTCAAAGGCCGAGAGGAACACTATGAGGAGGAGGAGGAGGAAGAGGAGGACGGAGCAGCTGGTGCTGAGAAATCACAGCAAAGAGCTGAAATGTAGCTGCCTCCCTCCCCCCATCCCCCCTAATTTCTCAGACAGCGCTCAGTGGACAGATTCCTTACAAGCTGCTCAGAAATAAACCTGCCTACTGAACTCTAGAATATTTAATTACAAAAATTAAGAATTTAGACTTTTTTAAAACTTTTGTATTAGAAATGCACATACATTTATATAAATATATTTTAATAACCTAGGTTAGAGCTTCTTTTATATTCAAGCTAAACCCAAACAAGAAAGAGAAATCTAGGCTCTGAGTCTCCTTTTTTTTTTTTTCAATGATTATGTGATGTTGGAAAGGACATCGATTTTTGTATATGCTTCAACTTGTTACTTTTCTATCTTCTAGTTTCCAGGTGTTGTTTGCCTTTGATAAAATACAGGATTTCAAAATAAGAAATACTGCAAAAACAAAACAAAACAAAAAAACAACGCTGTTCGGAATTTACAGAGAATGGCCTGTTTACTAACTGCTCCCTTTACGAGGTTCTAGCGTGTATATATAATCTGATAGACTTTCCACGCGTCTGTGTTGCTGGGATAAGATTCATGTACAGAGTGATATTGTTTCCCAGACTTGTCACGTCAGTTAGAAAAAAAATGGGCTTTCCTTAAAATCACAGCCCTTCTCCTTGAAATGAATTAAATTTAAAAGTGAGATAGTACTAAATAAATTCACATGACAGTGTTCTGGACTTAGATATTTCAGTCTTCAGACAAGGTGTGGCACGTTAGAGGAGTAACCTTTTTGAAGGACTGACATGTTGCTTAATAACTAATCGACTGTGGATGGGTAGTGTTTTCTACATCAGCACCCATTCTATTAAGTTTCCATAGCGACCTAGCAAAATTCTTGTTTCATTATCTAGTTCCCTACAGTAATAGATACTTCCCCTGTAAACTCTATGCCTCAGTAAGTAATCTCTGATGACACGTATTTATAAAGGCATACCAAAATGTATAATTGAATAGGGTTATTTTTAAAAAACTATATGGTGAGGTACACATGGTAGTAGGATAGACCCTGATTTCTTTTCTGCTCACTGAGGTTGGGTCTCCATTATGCCCACAGAGAGGCATTTTAATGATGATAAATTATAAACATTTCTTAAAGAAGTTAAAAATAAAAATTCCCTTGGGATAGGAACATTTCAATCTTAAGCATAAAGATTTTTAGATATATAAAATCAGGTGATATAATTCATGTGTGTGGTTTTGTAATAATAATAATAATAATAATAATAATAAAAACATTTCAATTTCTACTGTTGTATGAATGTACATTTATTTTAGCAACCACACTCATGTATGGTTCTGATTCTCCCAATTGAGTGATTGCGGATATATGCATAGGAATGTTTGTTCAGCTGTATTTTGGATTTTCAGTAATCATAAATCAAATTTTACCCTTATGTATAAAAACCCTTTATGTAATGTAAAATGTATAATATTGTACATAATATTCAAAATACAATTATTTTGGTAAATTAGTTTGTATTTTTAATGCCCCAGTTGCAGTATTTAATTATTTGAAACATTGAAACTTGGTAATAGTCAATAAAACTATAAAAAAGGAAATGATCAATCTTTTAAAGTATGTGAGTTTTTAGTAGTTTTTTATTTTAAACATTCTTTTTTCTAAAAGCAAAAATTTAAGTGGAACCAATATACATTAATGAATTATACAATGTCTTTCCTAACCAGTTATTTTCTGTATATCTTCCTCTACTTAATTGGTGTGTGATTTTTTTCCCCCTCCCTTTCTGTAAAGAAAAAGTTAAAAGAATTTTAATTTTATTTGAACTAGTTCTGGGGAAGAAAAAAAAGAAACATATGAGTGTCATGTGTGCATACACACACACGTAATAAACAATAACAAAACCCTGTGATATATACCGCATTTCCCAGCGTATAAGATGACTTTTGAAACGAAAAAAAAGTCAACCAAAAATCGGGGGCAAAAGACCAAAATTGCATAAAAATTACCTGCAGATCTTGACGGCAAAGTAAGTCTTTTCTTTGAAGTGGGGGGTAGTCTTATACAGCGAATATAGGCCTAAACCTATGTTTTAACCTTAAAAATTAGGGAGTCGTCCTATATGCCGGAAAATACGGTATCCCCACTAAGAAGTAAGAATCACAAACCATTTTACTTTCAGGATGGCACAAGTTATAGGGCCACTTTAGCTAATGTTTGGAAGAGAACTAATCAGCCAGCATTAATCTACATTAATGAAATGAGCAGAAATAAATTTTCACTTGTATTTATCTTGCCAATTAATCTGTGACTTCTGGTGCAACCAATAAGTCAAAGGACTTGGTACCAGTAACTTAATCAGAAGTGGGGGAGTCATGCTTACTAGGGGCAAGTACAGTGTAGCACCAAAAAAACTACATTAGGACAAATATAATGACTGGATGGCTGTAAGAGTGATTGAAAAAGATCTAGGAGTAAGAGTATGACCTGGCCTCATGCAAGTCACAATGACTCGATTCATAAAGAAAAATTACTGACACTTACTGAATGTCATAGAACCAGGATGTGTTAGTAAGACCACTGTATCCCACAGTGCTCCTTTAAGGTTGATGGAGTTCCCCCCTCCCCACTCAACTGAAGAAGTTTGTTCTGTAGGATTTGGCATCATTTAACGGATTTGGGTTTTTTGTTTTGTTTTTAGTTCTTGCATTAGCCTGTGGTACATTCATACCATTGGCATGTTGCGCAACCATTAAAAAAAAAAAAAAAGTGAGGTAAATTTCTATTCCCGAATCATCTTCTGGCTTCCATCAAGGTATCTGTTTCTACTTCTTACCATTCAGGCAACTTTTTCTTGTTTTTTTGTTTTGTTTTTTGCAGGTTTCTCTTAATGCTCTCCTTAAAATATCTGTATTCTTCAGATTTTCCCTAAAGCTATTCTCTCTGTTTAGCCCTCTTCCCATCCATATATTAGAGATATCTCCTAACTCACTTCCTTGGCCTAGTTTTCTATGACCTGCCCTACCTCAAATTCATAATTTTCAAAGCTGAATTTGTTTTTCCTAACCAAACCCCACTTACCTTTCTAGGTTCTGCATCTCAATTCACTAAGTTTTCCAGAACAAAAGAAGTTTGTCCTTGAGTCTGCCTTCTCTCCCTATAGATGTCCCCAAAATATTTTTATGTTTGCCCTCCTACTAACCTCTACAATAGTGTGATCTTTCGAAAGTTACCACTAATACTACCCCATTATTGAATGACATAATAAAATTGCTATTGCATATAGAAAAAAATCCAAATTTCTTAATATAACCTACATAATTCTTCATGATCTGGCCCTATCTTACCTCTTGAGCCTTACAATTTACCATCCAAACTGAAACATAATAAATGTATCTCATCTTTGCCAACCACATTTCTCTCTTAAAATCTTACTTAGTAAGTGACCTTGAGCCCTGTCTCTGGATGGGAAATCAACTTGAGCAGAGCCAATAATACTAACCATCTCCTGGGACAAAGTACTGTACTTGGACCAAGATGGACGCATGACTTAATTTCTTCCCTGGGATTTTTTTTGTTGTTGTTGGAGGGGAATTCTCCATGGAGTTTCTATACATCTGTGAGAGATTTTCTGTATCCAGAAGTTAAAGTTACTATCTCCTGGGTTGGAGGACATATTTGTTCTCTGACTAGAATAATAAATATAGTATCTTCCTTGGGGACAGGTTTGCTAGCAGTCCTTTTATTAGAGGATTTCCTAAGGTTAGTGATCCTAGTTGGAACACAAGCTCAATGTGTGTGCAGCATCCATCTTGAGTGCCTCCCAATATTCCCATAACACTTGGGGGCTCAGGGAACTGATATGAACATAAAGCTCACATTGCCTGCTGTGCCATGAGAAATATTTGTTTCAGAGCCAGCAGTTGAGAGTCTTCTAATCAGCACCTATGATACTGTGGCAGGCTAACTTGTTAGTTTGTTAATTGGGTAAAATCTCAGACTCTGCACAATTATTTCCAATTTTTTTTTGAGGCTGGAGCACATGGAAAATAGCCGGCATCTCTCTTCTCTCTCCATTGACAAAGCCATAGCATGCCAAGCACTAACCCTGTGAATAAATGTGTACTAAATGAATATCTTACAATCCTCACTTGTAAAATGAGAATGCTGTTTATTTATAGATCATACAATTTTGAATAAGTGGCAGAGCTACAATTTCTTCCCAAGTGAATCTGATTACAATGTTAATTCTAAATATAGCCAGAATTGTATGGATCATTATTCAGTGCTACATTCTGAGTTTCATACATTAAGAAGGTGTGCTTTAAATGTTACAACAAAACACACAAATGCAATGAAGGTGTAAAAAAAAAAAAAAGAATAAGTGAAGTCTAAGGTTTTGAGGAGAAACTAAGAAATTGGAATTATTAGACCCAAGAAATATACGGTCAGAGCAAAATGTAACAGTGTATGTCAATTGTAACATCAAGAATAAAAAAGTTCTTGAGGAAAAGGTGAAAGGAGCTTTGAAATCTAGAACATGAAACAGGATCTCTGTATACAAAAGCCTAAGTGACTGAAATGACTAGTCACTATGATGCACACTGACCACCAGGGAGCAGATGCTCAATGCAAGAGCTAACCTCTGATGGTCAGTGTGGGAGTACTGCTCAGCTGACCTACCCCGCTCAACTGACCTGCCTGGTGGCCCACCAGCCCAGTGGCAGCCACTTGCTCCCTCAATAGTCCTGCAGGTCCAATCTCCAGAGAATGGGCCAGGCACTGATGGACTAGTACTGTTGGCATGATCCTGACAGTGCTGCTGGCCTCCTGAAAGCCAGCCTCAGGCACCGCAGACACTTCCCCTCCCTAGAAGCTCCACAAGGAAAAAACAATATAAAAGCAGCTACCAGGTGGCTCCCAATAACCAGTGCAAATGTCAGCAGGACAGATCAAGATTCTGGGCAGGCGAGGGCATCCCACCGCCTGCCGGAGGGCTGATATCATCCTGCTTCTCCATCCAGCA